GTTTATGTTAATTAAAAAAATATTTTATTTATACTAAAGATAAAACTCTAAAATATTCGTAATTTATTAAAGAGAACATTGTGGTCGTAATTGTTTAGCAACAATATCTTTTATGTCTACATCAATATTTGTTCTGTCTCATTATATCTTCAAGAGTAAAATCTTTTAAACTGTTTCTATATTTTGACTTTATATATTTCATATCGGAGTATGCACATTGATACAATTTGAAGTCCAAAATATCTCAATTTTGGATATTTATCTTTATCTGAAAATTTGAATATTTCTATTTCAGTTACTCCACGAGATGTAAAAAATGGGCCAGCCTGCAGGTCGCATAATTCTATTTGATATTCAAGATCAACGGAGTTGAAATCAATACGAATGGGATCATAAAATAAATCAATAGACGATTTATGATCATTAAATTGAGAAAATCTTTCATTGAAATCTGTAATTAACATATCTAATTTTGGTAGAAATATTTTAAAATCCGCTTCTATACTACATTCTTTCATTTCATCATAGATCTCCATAGTAAAGTAATTTTAATAATATTACTTTAGTAACATAAATTTATTCATAGTAAAATGTACTCGCGGGCCGTAAAAATAATTTGGCGGACCGCATATGGCCCGCGGGCCGCCCGTTGGACAGCCCTGCTTTAGACAACCGATAATGTGCTTCAAATACAGTTACTTCAGTATGTACAGCGCCTCCAACAAAAAGCATTACTAAGATCATACCAACACAAACTACACAAGCACACATTATGTAAAATATGAAACAATTTCCTAACCGTTTTCTCTATGTATCAGAGGATGACAAACAATTTCATTACATCCTAGTCTGAACTAAAGCGGGTACTTGGAACTAAAATTTGTGTTCATTTAACAAATGACAAACGCTGCTTCGTCTAAAGAACACTTTAATAATAGTCCTTCATTAAAGTGGGAAACAGAGTATGTAAGGTTTCGCATCGACTCGGTCGAGCTTTAACCATTCCAATCTAAAACTTTTGGCTAACTCTCGAACTTCGTCTCATATGCATGCATGTAAAACGTACCTACAACGACCTACTTGCCAAACAAACTAATTCAGAACGTTTGCAAAAACTAACGAAAATATGAGGGAAACTGTGTCGAGAATTCACTTCATACTATATTCGTAACAATTATTATGATAAATTATCAAATCGTTGGGTATATAGATTCATAATTAAAAGGTGGCATCATCAAATATTTTCAGTCATATAATTAATAAAAATCCAATAAATGCAATTTATGGACCTTGTGGAATGTTAGGATTTGTTCGAATATAGTGATGGGCAAAATTGGTCTTCCTCTTGATCTTGTAGTCTTGGTCTTGCGAAAATGCAAAACCAAATGAACAAGACCAAGGCCAAATATGCAAGACAAAACGAAAAGTTATTAGCTCCGGTGGATTTATGAATTAAACTATTTGAAGCAACTTTAAGATATTCTTATCTTGGAACAAAACTATTCTAATACTTAATTTTAATGCTAAATATTAAAAAGCAGGAACTTTACCACTGTTTGAAAAAAGGGATCTACAAGAACTTCCGCGGAGTAAGTGTTCATTGTTCCTATGTCTAGATAACATACGGTTGAAATATAGTATATAGAAGCAAAGTAATGTTTTCTCGATATTTTTAACTTCTTTCAAGTGCCTTGTAGTATTTTGTTCGCTAAAAGGTTAATTTATGCATTGGAAGACATTATTTTCTTTAAGAGTCATGACAAGCTCGCATGTATGACTTACTTATAGTGACAATCAAGCATTAATGAGCAAAACCAAGACTTAGCATTCAAGACCAAGAACAATACTGAGACTATATCAGCAAGATCAAGACTAAATATAACAAGACCAAAATGAATACCAAAACTGCGAAAGTCTTAGTATTGGTCTTGAGTTTCTTTAGTTTAGGGCAGTTTTTAGTCTGATTTAGAAATATATAGAAAAACGGCAAATTGGTGCAACTAAGACCTGATGATAGGATGTACTGAAATTACTTGATCACAAAAAGTCTAACTAAATGGTTAAATACTTTCGATGTCGGAAATTTTAGTTATCGCTGATTTTGATAAATGCGAAACGGTTTATTTGCTTTCATTTTTACTAAATTTAGAAAAGAATTGGTGAAATGTACCTACACCGTATTATTTGTAATGTAAATGCAAGCTTTTAAATTACAAAAAAAGACCGTTGGGTCTAAAATTGGTCGTTAGTATAGGAGCCGCAATAAATTAACAATTTTATTTGCATTACAATTTTAGCCCGTATTACTGGACCGAGCTAAAACAACAAGCTGACTTTTTTATGTAAATACTAAACATCAGCTATACATTTTCATTCGCGCAAACAGACACCCTTTTGCACACGAACACGCGAAGCAGATGTTAAACGAAATCTAATTAATAAAACTTCTGGATTTTACTGAATGAGGGTCACCCCTTTTTTTGCGAATACATAACACTCAACGCATTTTTTGTAAATGGCACTGCTGTATAAATACAACAAGTTTTTTGTATAATGTGTGCTTTCTTTCTTCTGGATGTTTCTAACATATATTGTTAAAAAGTTTGCTCCACATTATTGTAAAAAAGTTGTAAATATAAAGCCGAAGGGAAGTTTGACTTGAAAGTGGAAGAAATGTGTTGGGGTTTTTATACCATACAAATTAAAATTGGCTTGAAGCACTACAATGAATGAAACTTTGGGCGTTCAATTTTAAATATTATAAATAATATATAAAAAAATTGTGCTGTTAGCACAGGGCAAAATAGTATTCGTAAAAAACAATCAGTAATTTCTTATGCTGAATAATACGATGTGTTGCTTACCTATTTACAAACAATTCCCCTAGATTTTAATCATTGATTACTATACATCTATTAAAAAACCATAATGGCCGACATCAGTGACAATGCGACAACAATTGAAAAAGAATGATGGCCGACAACAGCAACAATTAGAAAAGAATGATGGCCGACACTACGTCATAGTATTATTCATAGAAGAGAATTTCGACCATTCGAATGGCCGACATCAGTGACAATGCGACAACAATTGAAAAAGAATGATGGCCGACAACAGCAACAATTAGAAAAGAATGATGGCCGACACTAGTAACAATGCGACAACAATTAAAAAAGAATGATGGCCGACAACAGCAACAATTAGAAAAGAATGATGGCCGACACTACGTCATAATATTATTCATAAAAGTGAATGTTGACCTCTCGAAGCAATGGTGCTAACAGTTTCGAGCTCACAGTGATTAATAGGAGGGAAGAAATAGTATTAGTAAAAAATAAACCGAAATTATTAATTATTTTCTTCGATTTGCTAATGAGTCTAAACACACGTCACATTATAATACCCTGTCGTACTTTTATATCATTCAAATTAAAATTAGCTTTTCGCAAAAACCCATTTTCCTCAATGCACATGTCACTTTAAAACACCCTTTCGCACTTTTATATAATAGAAATTTAAATTGGCTTTGACGGTTATCACGTATTTGCAGCCTGGTGTCTAAATTATTTTGGGAGTTCCTATTCATAAAAAAGTAGCAGTCAAACTATAAAATTCCTAAATATTCCGTTATATTACAAACAATATATAACTGGAATGCGGGGTCACTTGTGAAGCCCTATGTGTAAGGGCCCTTTGCAGAGAGCTCTGTTTGCGACACTTTACGTCCGCCTCTGTCTAATGCTCTTTCTTTATGGGTTGGATTATTATTTATTCTATGTTTTCAAAAACGCTAACAGACAATATTTAAATCATATTATTATATTTTGAAATAGTTTTTCCCGATTAGGAGAGTAAATCTGTCAAATACCGCAACTTAACTATTGGTCATACAATTACATACATGAATACAATATATATATAAAGATAAAAACACAACTTAAAGACGACCTTACTCCATCCTAAGTCCGGTCATTATAAAAGAAACTTGGCGACTGTTTAGAAGGATAATTAAATTAGGTGGTGAAATGGTGTGGTGTGAGGTCAAGCACCCTTTCTATCGATTAGAAAAGCCTGTTAAGCGTGCAAAAAACGGAAAAAGCTGTTTCTTTCTACGATAAAAAGTTTCCCTAGTCACCAACGTCAGCTATGCCCTCCTGAGCTTTTTCTTTTTTCGCCGCTTCCTATACATCGACGTACCCTATATAGTTAGAGCAACGCTAAATGGTAATGACTTCATTCACTGAAATCATTTTCCACAGGTACGATACATTTCATAATTTAAATGTCTCTGAGGATTTGTAAATAGTGATAGATATTGCAAAGAACCGAATGAAACAATAACATTAATAGGTGATTATTACATTACCTAAAAATCGCCCTTGTTATTACCATAATTGCTACATATATATTCACCGTCTAAAAATTATGAACGTAAATGGATTAACATAAATCCGTTTAGCAACGTACAAATATTGTTTACGATATATACAAGAACATCTAAGAACACTTAGAAAAGTTATTGCACCCTCTATTAGTGTTAATAGCCAAATTTTAATTGTTGAATACTTAAAAGAAACAAACATTTTCTGCATATTTGTATGTATTTAAGGAGCATTCGTATACTCCAACAATACGTGTAAACAGAAATAAAACAAACACGTACATTTAATTATCTACGTTTATGTATATGTATATTTTTGAATACATTCTTCGCAACTAAATAAGATTTTATTATATCTCAGTCAACTATTGCCGAATGAAAAACAGCTCCTGATAAATAGTTTTCAATAAAACTGATTCTAAATGGTTCTTTGTATAAAATGTACGTACCTACACTCAACTGAGTAACCACGTTGAAAAGCATCATTTAAAGATTCGTACCTAACCTAGCCTACAGTTAATTAACAAATATCTATTTAATATAAAAGATAAAGTATAATTTCAAAGTTTTTCGCATGCTGAAGCTATCTATTAAGAAGACTTTAAAAACGATGACTTACCAGAGTCAATGTCGATAAAGTTATCAAGTGAATCACTTTGCGTATTCTCCTAAGCTTCTACTTATGTGAATAGGTTAATAGCTACGACGCGTCGCGGCGCCAGTAAACTGGCGATGTCTCGAAAAGGGACGCTTTTATATTGCTCACTAGCGTTATCACACAGGCAAAGTATTCCTGCGCAACAATAACTGACGGGTTGTTCTTTTGTTTCATATGACAGCGCATGAAATTGATTATAGAAATCAAAAACAAAGGAAATGAATAGCGGTAATAAGTTCCACTCACACAATTTAAAAACAAATACCGAGAATATTACAACTTTAAGAAAAAACTCACCCTTTTTATCCATATATTTTTGCACTTATTAGCTTTAGCTATTTATACAGACAAGAAAAGCTATTAACTCAAACACTTCATTATTTCATGACCAACTTTTAGGAAGTAAAAATGTTTGTCGGCATAATTGTCTAAACTTAATATTTTGTTTAAAGTTTGTTCTCCTCTTCCAAAGTGCCATCTATAAGAGAATTCCTGAAATATACATAAACATGAGACATAGAATTAACCAATGAAAAGAATTACTGTAAATTTGTCAATCAAATGCAGTGTCTTTGATAATAGATACCCTTTGTGTATCTATTATCTATGATCTATTATCTATGGTTATGACAACAGTTGACAATTTCGCTTATAGCATAATTTTAAATTTAAAATATAAATAGTAGAGTTTAATATATTCCAAAAATGTTAAATTTTGTGAATACAGTGACAAAATTATGGAAAAATGTTAAATATACCAAGTCGATGGTCTACATTTTTATACAACCTCAAAAATTTGTGAAAAGAATTAACATAACCCCGCAAATTTTCCATTCAAATTTCTTACAATACGTTAACAAATATCAATTTTTAAATGCAATTACCCCCATTAAACGAAACACAAAAAATAGCAGAGGTTCCTACGGAATACTGACATATTTCGTATTAAGCTTAAACATTTTAAAATGGCTTGGGTTTGAAGATGAAGATGAGAAAAAAGAATCCGAGCTAATAATGACGCTGAAACGTGCTGTACTTTCAACTCAAAGACAAGAATACAATAAAGCCGAGCAACTGTTACATCTCGCCTTAAGATTAGCACAGCAACAACAAGATCAACAAGGTATTACCTACTGTTATGACTTGATGGCAAATTTGGCATTTGAAACGTTACAACTAGATAAATCTGAAAAGTTATTTGTTAGTGTGCTTCAACGCCTTTTGAGTACAGGCGTAAAAGACAATGACTTAAAGGTAACTTATTTATGCTTAGTATAAAGATGCTTGCATTAAACATTACAATTACATCTTTTCATTAAAGCATTCTAGGTGATCCACATAAGTTTAAAACTTGCTCGAATATTACATCTGAAGGCTGAAGTAGAAAAAGCAGAATTAGGATATGAATGGTGTCTTGAACAAATAAAAGATCAGAAAAATGACAGTATTGATGGAAAAATGCTGTGTGGAATTATTCATGACTGGTATGCTCAGTTTCTACTGGATGGAGGACAACTTGAAAAGTCATTACAACATTTAAAAGAGGCCTATAAAATATGTGCTGAAATAGAAGGAAATAATACAGAAGCAAATATGCTATTACTAAATGATTTAGGAATAACCTGTTGGAGAGCAGGAGATCTATCCATGGCAGAAAAGTTTTTGAATGAAGCCATTGGTGTCGGTTCTAACTTGGAAGACAAAATGCATGTTGGCACTGTACATGCTAATCTAGGACTTATTTATCTTCAGAAAGGAATAACCAAGCAAGCAAACAAGTATTGTAAAGAAGCGTGGCATATAGGTAATTAAGTACTTACTAACACCTCATCATAGTAAAGAACCCCCACTGAAAAGTATAAAATAATCATAACATAAATTCTCCTTATTAAAGCAAGTTGAAAACTAAAGCAATATTGTTTAATATGTAGCACATTATATTAAATAAAAAAAGTTATTTTAAAGATTCCCTACTAAATGTCTTAGAGTTAATTACGAGATAATGTTTTCATAATGTTCTAATTACTTAGAATTGTTCCATAACTAAAGTAAAACAAATAAACATGAAGAACATTTCATTTCAAAGCATGTATCATGTATATTGTATTTATGATTTTGTATTTTTGAAATAATTAGTTTTTAATCTTGTTTTTGTAGGTAGAAAATATGAAGACAATGAAGCTGTAGAACAGGCAAACTACTGTTTTGATCAGATAAAAGTTGTTCTAGACCATGAAAAATCACAAACATAGTTTTTCTGAAACAAGATGTTGTTTTGTTGTTTTATATGTTTAGTTGAAAATAAAATTCTTTGCCGACTATAATTTTGTATTTTACCTCAACTGAGTACAAATTACTTCTAAAACAAACATTAAGTAAATTTCCTACTCTCATTCATACTCGGCAATGATAACCATCATATAAACTCCAGCAAGCATAGCAAACACTTGCAGTATTGTTTGTACAAATGTGGGTTTTTCTTCATCCAACAGTTCAGGTATCACAGATACCAAAGCAATATAAATGAATCCGCCAGCTGTGAAGGGTAGGATCCAGTTAAATCCCAAAATGCCTTCACTGTTCTTGCTCAAAAGAGAAAGCACAGTCCCTGCCAATGCTCCAACAGCTGTGCTAAGCTGTAGCAGCATAGCATTTTTTCGAGAAATTCCTGATTGCAAGAGAATTGCAAAATCTCCTATTTCATGAGGAATTTCATGCAGTAGAATTGTAACTGTAGTCACTATTCCTATATGATTTCCAGCTAAGAAAGAAGCCCCGATTGCTAGACCATCTGTAAAATTGTGACTAAAATCTGCAGCTAAATTCAAATAACCAGATACTTTTATTTCTGTTTTTGGATTTTTGCTTTCAGGTGAATTTTCATTGGCATCACTTTTTTCTTTCTTATTACCTTTTTGGTCATTGGAGACAGAAACAGAACTGTGGGTGTGGCCATGGCCACTGCCTTTTACAATCCTCACTCCTTTTTCGATTATTAGGAATGCAATAATTCCAGAAAGAACCCCTAAGCCTATAGACATATCATGACTATGGTTTTCATGAGAGTGTTCATGTCCATGTACTTCAGTATGACTTGGATGATTATCATGTGAATGACCATGAGCATGGAAGGAATGAATATCTTTTGAAGTCACTGTTAGTGCTGCATGGGGAATTAAATGCAAAAATGCATCTCCTAAAAGACCTCCAGATGCAAAAGCCAGCAACACTTTTAATAAAGGCTGAGTTTTCTCTGTATTATCCAATGGAACGACCAACAATATCAAAACAGGGGCTGCACTAATAAATAAAGTTGCACCTATTGCATGCATCCACACATCACCTTCACTGTAGTCTTTTTTTTCTTTCCCAAGATGTTTGGCTTTAGACTCGTGGTGTGAATGTTTCTGATTGTGATAGGGTTCATTTGCTTCTTTGGAATATTTATAAGCTTTTTTATTTTCACTTATATGTTCATGTAAGTGATGATCATGTTCATGAGCATACTTATCACTATTACATTTATAACAGTGTAGAAGACAAATCGATGTAAATAATAAATACACTAAAACTTTACTTGAAAAGCACATTTTGTTAATTCACTAACAGTAAATGGTTTACGTCTTAACAAAAATTACTTTTGTGTACGTATTTTCATTTTCTAAATTCAAAACAGAATATAATTGTCGAATATAACCAAAACATAAAACAAATCCTAACAAACTTCAACACGTCATTCTTTCGTTTGTAAGAGATTGGCAACCCAAATTACACTTCCATAGATAATAGTTACACTACAGATCTCAAATCATGCGCATTTTGTTTTTTAATTACAAAGCAGAATTGAAACTTTGATTTCACGAGCGATTTGTAATCAGAGAAATCCAAGAAATTAATTAAATAAAAACTGTGAATAATGTCGGCTCGTTATGATCGTGCTATAACAGTATTTTCACCAGACGGCCACCTTTTACAAGTGGAATATGCTCAAGAGGCTGTTAGGAAAGGATCTACAGCGGTAAATATAAATTCCAAGCTTAACCTAAAAATCAAAATAAAAAAGTGACTTGCCTTTTTTAGGTAGGAGTTAGAGGCAAGGATGTAGTTGTATTAGGTGTAGAAAAAAAATCCGTAGCAAAATTACAAGAAGAGCGCACTGTACGTAAAATTTGTCTTCTGGATGACCATGTAGTGATGGCTTTTGCAGGTCTCACTGCAGATGCTAGAATTTTGATAAATAGAGCACAAATAGAGTGCCAGTCTCACAAACTTACAGTCGAGGACCCAGTCACTTTAGAATATATTACCAGATACATAGCCAGTTTAAAACAAAAATATACTCAGAGTAATGGAAGAAGACCATTTGGTATGTCTTGCTTGATTGGAGGTTTTGATTATGATGGGACTCCTCATTTGTACCAAACTGAGCCTTCTGGCATTTACTATGAGTGGAAAGCAAATGCCACGGGACGTTCTGCTAAAACAGTTAGAGAGTTCTTGGAAAAATACTATACTGAAGAGGAGGTTTCAACTGAGGCAGGTACAATTAAACTTGCAATTCGAGCTTTGCTTGAAGTCGTGCAATCAGGGCAAAAGAATCTGGAAATTGCATGTATGAGAAAAGGCCAACCAATGGTAATGTTGGATGGTAATACAATTGAAAAGTATGTTAATGAAATTGAGAAAGAAAAAGAGGAGGAAGCAGAGAAAAAGAAGCAGAAAAAGTAATTTTATAAGTTTTACTTATTAATTTAAAATAAGATTTTGTATTTCCTTTATTGAATTTAATAAAGTAATTTGAAAATTCAAATGTTTCATGAAAACTAATTCAGAAAAATCCATTTAAAACTGATATTGTTTGAGTAATTATTTTTAAATCGCTGTTTTTTGTAATATATCTGCTACATGTTTAATTAAATACAGTTGGAGGCTCCAATATTTTTGTATTTCTACTTTTTGCGGTACTACAACTACTATTTTTAATTACACACGGTACCCTTTATATAATCACTTTCACTTGAGGAAGAATAAATGATCCCAACATTGTCAAATCACCGTATGTGTATCTGTTATTTATGGACTACACAGAAGAGAGACGTCTCTCTTAAGTCCATAAATCGTCTCTCTGCTCTGACTACACCAAAAGAAATCCCAACCTCAATTTTATAACCCCAACCCGAATTTAGAAGTGCCCTTTAAAAATAAGAATGCCTTTTAAATATATCGGCAGAACTACAGATTTTAAAGGAAAAACGTTATGGGAAATTGTAGGAAACTTAAAAAACTATGGAATAGGACGTTATATTAAAAGAAACGTTTTTGAGAGATACCCTGAACCAAGCTTTATGAAAATTGTTAAAGTAGAAACTCTCCCAAGTCCCTTAGAGGCTTCAATGGATGATCTACGAAAAGTAAAAGTATGGGTGGAGAAAACATTTCGTGGTAGAAAATTCCCAGATGTAGTTCCACTTAAATCTGCAACTTATAAATCTGATTATGTATTGATTCCTAAAGATGAAGAAAAGAAGTACAGTGACTTAAAACTTGAGCCAATTCCAGAAAAAATACTTCCCAGAACAACTAATTTTCCCCCTTTATTAAAAGAATTGATATACCGAGATGCAGAAGTGAAAGGTGAAACATTAAAAGAGGAGCCTAAATTAAAGATTATTTACAAAGAAAGCATGCAAAGCTGTTATCGAGTAGCTAAAGAGGGAGAGACACCCAATGTGCAAATTGCTTATGGATTAGGAACACCTATTAGTCCTTCTTTATATCAAGGAATAAAACTAAAATAATTTTCTGCAACAAAATATTTTTAAGTAGTTGTTAGGTATTGGTCTTCATTTTAGTTATATAAAGTAAAATAAATATATTAAACTGTTTTTTTAAATCAATGTATTATTTATTGATAAATTTCATTTTTAAAATTACCATTCTTTGAACTAAAATTAAGGATAAGAATATTGATCTTCAATTGGTTACAAAAAGTTTTATATATTATAAACAAAACAAATTAACAACAAAAAGACTGTTCAAATGAAACAAGAATTTTCACAGCCTTAAGAATGTAACCTGATTGTAGAATACTATAGAAAGCAAATTCAAATAAATTTTACAACTTCAGACTGAAACTCCAGTAATAAATAATAAGAAGTGTTAAATATTATTTTATGATAAATCTGATATTTTAAATATTAATATAACAACTACATATACAGAAATACAGATCACCTCAATTCCAAAATTAATTTTGTTAGTTTTCTTATGTAATTAAGTAGCGTAACTTTTTTTTTACTAAAAAGCACTTACTAATCTATAAATAACAAATATAATATAACAAAACGTAATTGAAAAAAGTATCACAGAGGTTGCCATATTTTAACATGATGATCTTCTCCACCAGTAACTATTAATTTTCGATCAGGAGATATATCAACACAGTTAACAGTGCCTAAAAGACATTTTTATATTAAAAGAAATAGTTTTTAATTATCATTTATAATTCAAAAAGTAGAAAAAAATTATAGCGGAATTAAAGGTTTATCGTGTAAACCCGAAAATTATTTATTTTATTTTCTATTGTTCTTGTAGAAAGCATAATTTACAACTGACATGATAAAAAAATAAATAAAAGAACAAAAACAAAATCAAAAATTACCTTCATGAGCTTTTATTTGTCTTAAGCATACGACGTCGTTTGTATTCCAAACATGTAATGTTCCATTTGAAGACCCCAAAACGAGCAATAAATCGGACCATTGCAAACACATCAAGGGATCTGTAAATGATTTGTAGAAAAGAGCCATTCCAGTATTAATATCTATTATTTGAAAAAGTCCATCGTCCCCACAAGAGGCAATTTTTTGACCGTCCGAACTGCAACGAAGGGCCCTTACAGAACCAGAGTGAAAGGTCGTTTTCTCCATGAGTGATAAAGTGTCGATGTTCCAAATGTAAATGTCCCCATCTTCAGTACCCGATACCAATAATTTGTTAGCTCTGAGAATATCTACATATTAATATATTGGTTAAAGAATAAATCCTTATATTGTATAATATACATAACTTTTTATAAATAAAATAAATAAAAGATACAAGACAAGTAAGACTCTCTACTAACAATAATATATATTTTCCATTTTTTGTTTGTATTAAAAAAGAAAAACTTAGCATAAAGTCAAAAATAAACACCACACTGCCTCCAGTATTCCAATTTATCTATATAATTGAAAAGCACCTTTTTCTTCAACAAAACCATTCAAACAAAATTTCACATTTTCTCTTACATTTAAGAGAAACATTGCTTACGGATCAAATGCGAGACAAGTGACTTGAGAAGTGTGGTCTAGTTGAGCCATAAGACACTGGGCAGGCTTTATGTTGTTACCAATTGAAATGCCCTTCCATAATCTTATCGTACAATCCCCGCTTCCAGTCGCTAGAAGTTCCGCCTCCCTACCCCATTCTAAACAAGTTACCGCATCTTCATGAGCCAGTACATCTTGGGTTATCTTCCCAAAATCTAAATCATAAAGAACCCTGCAAAAATGTGTAAATATTAGGGTAAAACTTAACAACACAAAAACTTAAGTGTTATCGTAGACTCTTCAACTAGAGATTTAGCACAACAAAAATAATAGAAACTGATTGTATGTATACATATAATTATTCTTAATAAAAAAAAGATATTAAAAAATTCACAATGGCCTAAAAATCGTTTTCATTAATAAATTAAAGATAAAAGCGACTTACATGTTATTCCCAAAGCTACCAATAATTAATACGTTCATGTTGGGTAGTTTAGAGCAACTGCTTAAAGGCATTGTTCCTACATTTGCACTTCTAATTTGTCTATTTAATGATATGGAAAACATTTTCATTTTTGCATCTGACCCAACAGAAATTACTTTATCACTGTCTTCATTAAACACAACACAGCGTACAGCGTCTCTGTGTGTTTTAAATGACGACTTCAATTCTAACGATTTTAAATTATTCCATAATTCCACATATTCTGGAATAGAAATTTTATAATGTTGCAAAACAAAGTAATGTGAATAAGGTATTTAAATAAAGCATTGAAAATAAATAAGATACTTAAAATGAGTTTAATTGTAAGAAGGATCACAAACCAAACATATTTACCACTTTTTTTACTATTTATCCCAACTGACGAAGGATGCTTTAATAATTGTGGACTATTTTTCCTTTCTGGGTGAGGAACCTTGAAGATTTGTTTTGGTATTTGTCCAAATTCCATAATTTGGACTTCCAGAGCGTGTCTTTGATTTAAGTCCAATATTGCTTCTAAATCAACACTTCCCTCATAACACAAATGATAAAATACTAAAATATGCACAGAGTAATTTATACACCTCAAAAGGAAGAACTATAAAGAACGCACAATTTTTTGCTGAGGCAGCTTCTTCTCCTCTTTGCTTATAACCAAATATAAGATCAATCCAATGATGCAACGTTTTTGATACATAATCAGATTCCAATGCATCTCTCAACTTATGTACAAAATCTTTGGGACCATCTGCCCAAGGAGGTAGTTCAACATCTCCCACTTTTATTCCATTATGACGATAACCAAAATGAATCCCCATTTCATTTGTTAAAAATTTGCCCTCTTTCTCCAAATCGTAGAATTCAGGAACTAATTCTTTGAAATCAGATAAATTATTGAGACAATTTCTATATACATCAGCAACAGAATTAAACATTCTGTCTGGATGGTCAAACCTTCCATTTTGCAAACAAAGCATATAATGGGGATAAAGGCGAACGAGATAGAACAAGACGAAGCCGGGAGTTGAATAGTGAGATCCATAAAGAAATTTAGGATGAGACATTTCTTCATAACGTTCCATAAGTCTCTGAAGTCGTGTTTCATTGAGAGCTCCTATAGGTTTCGACAAGTCTCTGAATGAGTTAGGATTATTCAAATTTAATTCTGAGCTTTGGTAATCACTTATTACCCAAGGAAACACAGGATATTGGGTGAGGTCATTTACAGTTCTATCAGCTTGGCTACAAAATATATGAATTAATAAAAGTTAAAATAATTTGTTTCAATAAAATCACAAAGAAAGAAAGAACAATGCACCTATTAATATACACAAGATATTCATAATTTGAAATAACCCCGTTTTGCCACTGTAGTGTCATAATGTCTTGTTGGATGTCTTTGAGTTTTAACTCAGGCTGCTGTAAAAGTGTAGTATACAAATTATCTCGGTCTGCTTGAGTTCTAAATGAAAGGTATAGATGAGGAACAACATCATTTTCATTTGAATAAATCTCTAATCCCTACAACATGAAGGTTTAGTCAAATTTTGATTATACAAAGAACTTGCTATGAACTTACTATTTGTCTTAATAGAAATCTCCTTTTTACCAATCTTTTTATACTATTTAAATTTATTTTTAAAACAGGATACTAGAAACAAACATTTTCAAATAATTAGCGTATATTAAAAAAGGCATGAAATTTACTGTTTCAATGTTATTGTAGGGCTGAAAATATAATTTAATGTTGGACAACAGAATTCTCCCTGGATTTACCACCAGTGGAGAAACTTTATCAGCTTGAGTTTCCATTACTGTAGTTTCATACAAATCAAGCCACATTTGATCAAACCGTACTCTAGCTTGTCTTGAATGCACAATAGTGGCAATCTAAAAGTTACATTTACACTTTATTTACAGTGTTTAATTGTGCTTGGTTTAATTATTTACCATATCAGCATGTTCAGCAGCTGGAAGTGTACTAGCTCTCTGAAGTTGGCTTATTCTTGGTAAACAGTCAGTTATTTGAGCATAGTTTAAAATAAAAAGGAAATTGCCCCTATCTACAAATTTATAAGGAGCAACAATATTCTTTTCCAGCATTTCTATGTACTGTCTACAGTGAACACTTAAAACATTGTTACTTTGTAAAAATTTTGCTGAACCTTTCCACTGTTCTAAAATGTCACAGTCTTTTAAAGGTATCTTTATTAAGGGTTTACTGATATCTTTTGGGTCAAAGACTAGAGATTTAGAACATAATTTTAATCGACCAGGCTGCTTTTTAATATCATAAGTGTTTGGTGTTGTATCCACTGGAATAAAAATTGCACTGAAATCTTCAAAGTATATTTCACCAGGCTCCAGTAACAACAAGGAAAACCTGAATGAAATTGTTTTAATGTAATGTTAAAATATATTCCTATTGACTTACCGGCCTCCTTCCATAATGTATTGTATAATAAATAAAAAAAGCTATATATTTCAAAAGCATATGATCTACTAAAATAAATAAATGATGCTTAAATTTTGCGTGGTAAAAAATAAAACATAAAATCAAATTATTTCACATTCCTCTGTCTGCCATCCTGAAAATAACGGTTAAATTAGTTCGTTTTTAGTAGCTTTATACATAATTTTGTTTTAGCTACACAAACACAAATATTGAACTATTAACTTACAACTTTTTGGGAAAACACAAGACACAGTTTAAAACTCCACATACACTAATTAATGTTTTTCATATTTTTCTATAATAATATAAATGTAAATATAACCTATATCTATGTATGCGTCTGCGAACATCATATCATAGACAATAATCATAGACATGATCATAGATATCATAGACAAACATAACTGAACATAACCTCATTATCTCTTCGATCGCTTTCGTTATTAATCTACATATTATTATTATTGTCACAAAAGTAATGATGAAAAATGCAGGCAAAAAACTAATTTATTTTTTAGTTAAAGAAGATCATTAAGGATTAATAAATAACCTGTTAT